TGTTCGGTTTGAGACTGCTGCCCGCAGCGTCTCAGCTAGTGTCGCGCACACTGGTGCCGTCGCGTTAGCGCGCGCCGCTGACACCGCGCAGCGCACAGCGCGGAGGCCCGGCGCCGAGCGAACGGACGCTAGGATCGGACCGGGGCTTGCTTACGCCGCTGGATGACCAGAGGGGTTTAGTTCTGCAAGGAGCTGTAGTGAGGTGTAATTGTGCTAAGAACCCGACGTGAATTCTCTCCTTCCACTTGTAGTGCGGCCCAATTGCGTCACACTGCACTCGGACAGGGTCGACGATAGGCTAACTGGGCCTCGCGGCGCCGAGACTTTCGTAGCGGACTGGAGCGGGTACACTGGCAGCGGCCGACCCTGTCCGACAGTGGCTGACTGTTCACCTGACGTGTCCGTGTTCGGACGTGCGCTTGGGAATTCGGTTGGGCACGGCGCGGGGGCATCTCAGTCACGCGAGAGCGCCACGCCGGCTGCGCCACCGCCGCCACGGACGCCGCTGCCGGATGGGGCGGTGCCGGTGGCGCGTCGACCGAGGAGCGCCGCCGCCCGGATATCGCGCTGCCGGCCTGCCATCGATGGGGGGGGGGGGGGGGGAGGGCGCCGCCGCTGGATCTGACAGTGTCCGGGGCTGTCCCCGCCGGCTCCGGCGGCGTTGAGCGTAGCCTTGCGGCTCGGCCATTCAGCCTTGTGCTCATGCGGTGTCAGGAGCCTGTGATTGGAGTAAGTTGGTTTCCTTTCATGCGGTTGGTAGAATGACTGCTGTGTACAGAGTATGATGTTCCAATGGTCGGTGAATGCGACCAGGGGGGCCTAACGAGCAAAAACTGTAAACGTGATGAGCCCGTAATGCAGAGACGAGAAGAGATGGTCGGTGAAGACCATACATGAATGTCGGCTTTATCTGGTCGTTAGATTGGCACGGTTAGGATGGGTCAGTGGTTTGATGGCAGAGCGGGCAGGTCCTGTGGCAGCACCGACCCGACTTAGTGGTGTCAGTTTAGATTCGGTTCACCCGTACCCACGGAACCTGGAGATGGGCGAGCATAGAGATTCGTCTTCAGCAATCTTCATCAATCTTTTCTTCTCTTCTCGGTTCCAAGGTGAATGTCAGTCACGTTTTTAGGGCTAACGCCTCACAAGAATTGTCCAGCTCAAGGGCGTAGTTCATATTCAGATGGAAGGGCTCCAGCTGACCCCCCCCCCCCCCCCCCCCTTCTCCCCGCACTCACCAACTTTGTCCGGATTCCCCCGGCCCAACCATCAAAAGGGAAGTGGGCTAAGTCCGTTGAAAAGTAAGACTGCGTGAAAATGGAAGCAGCACACTCCTCGTCAGCTGACTCGGCGTCTCCCAGCTGATTTTGCAAGACCACGCCGCTGGTTCCATGCCTGTTGTCCACCATCAGGCACAGTTAACAGTACATGGGCGTTTGCTAGTGCGGCACGCCCAGCGCTGTGCTGCCTTCAGCCACTGCAGTCACCGCAGTCTGACGTGATGCGTGCTGTTCTGCCGAGACGCTTGTGCCGGGTGGGCGGCTGCAGCTGCGGCGGTCGAGGCGGCCGCCGGTCCACCTGCCAGAGCTGCCGGTCCACCGGCGGCGCTGTGCGTCAGCGGTCCGGACGCAGCCGCCGGTCCGGCTGGTCCGTCCGTCTCGCGCTCATCGACGCTGAGGTGCCGCGGCCCGTCACTGACCATCCCCCGGGGCCGATAGCGAGGCCTGCGCCGGCGCCGCTGCAGGCGCTCCTCGCGCCGCCGTGCGGCCGTCGTTAATCGTGCGTGCTCGCCATAGCTTAGATGAATGAAGCCAATCAGCAATGACTGCGGCGAAGCACTGATATCGTGGTGGTCGTCGCCAAATTACCATATGGAGCGCCAAACGCGCTGCTTGCGGCTGGAAGTCATGCGTAGCAAATGCGTCGCTCTTGTCATATGCGTTTGCCATGATCATAATTGCGTGCTTGGAATTGTTCAGGGGGAAGCTGGTAATTTGTTTATTATGTGTTTTGCCGGCACGTTTCGGCACTTTCCCGATTTTCCCATCTCGTTATAAAGCCGTTCCTGCCACACCGCTCTGGCAGTTTGTCTCTCAATGTGGCATTCGTGGACAAACCTGTGTTCCCAAATGGGCCATGGCCCTCCAGGTGTGATTCGGGTGACCCGGGGGGGGGGGGGGGGCATGTAATTAGAATGAGCAATTATTTTCACTCTCCGCATTTTCAAGATTCCTTGTTCGTCATGGACACAAAGCTAGCGTACTGTATGGTTTTAAGCTCACCTCAGCGAGTCACAAAACCTAAATGCAGAAGAATCGTGATTTGAATGTTCCAGCCAAGTGCAGCAATGGGTCTTGGGCTATATCGTCCAGACTTTTAGCGTCCCTTTGAGGCCTGGACCATCAGAGCTGGTTCAGTGTTTGGCGGGGTCTCAGAGATCGAGTTGGCATCTCCGCGTGAATTTCAACCACAATGTACCCCGCATGGAAATGAAGCTTATAACTATTGCATGCCAGCTTCCTACTCATTAATATCATCAAGAGCGGCTCCGGCTCAAGACGTCGGCTCCTGCCAAATGTTGAAAAGGTGACTTGTGGTGCCAGACTGGTGGTTTATATTGCATGAAAACGCGGCTTTCACTGGAACCGGTTGCACGGTCGAAACGCGAAAAACGACATAACCGTGCTCGGAGCCAATGAAATCCCCGTACATTGCTGTGTGTCATCGGCGCAGGGTGCACACAGTGTTCGACTCCGGAGTCAGGGTCGACCCGGGGACGCGTGTTCGTGATCGCATCGCGCCGATCGTTGAGGCCCTGGGTGGCGCGGTACACGTGACGTTGTCGCGCGCCGTGGCAACGTCGGTGTGTTCAGGGCGCTGAAATATCCGCGTGCTCCTGCGGCAATCCGCTCGCTGTCCACCACAGCTGCGTCGCACGTCACAGCACAGCTGCGTCACACGTCACAGCACAGCTGCGCCGCACGTCACAGCACAGCTGCGTCGCACGTCATAGCACAGCTGCGTCACACGTCACAGCACAGCTGCGCCACACGTCACAGCACAGCTTCGTCGCACGTCACAGCACAGCTGCGTCGCGCGTCATAGCACAGCTGCGTCACACGTCACAGCACAGCTGCGTTGCACGTCACAGCACAGCTGCGTCGCACGTCACAGTACAGCTGCGTCGCGCGTCATAGCACAGCTGCGTCACACGTTACAGCACAGATGCGTCGCACGTCATAGCACAGCTGCGTTACACGTCACAGCACAGCTGCGTCACACGTCACAGCACAGCTGCGTCGCACGTCACAGCACAGCTGCGTCGCGCGTCATAGCACAGCTGTGTGACACGTCACAGCACAGCTGCGTCGCACGTCACAGCACAGCTGTGTGACACGTCACGGCACAGCCGCGTCGCACGTCACAGCACAGCTGCGTCGCACGTCACAGCACAGCTGTGTGACATGTATCACCACTGGGGCGACGTTGGGAGGCATGCTGGAGTCACCAGCGTTTCGTCTGTCACTGTCGCGTCGTGCGCTCTGCTTCCGCGCTACATTGTCCAGGAACCGCCTGCCGCCGTCACAAGCTCTCGGACACTGGGCGAATTCGTGAGCAAAGTTGATCGTGTTGACTTATACTACACCGTACGCCGCGTTTTTTCCCGGGACTATTTTTGTTTCTTGTCTCGTCAGTGTTTGGATTTTCGTATGGTGTTCATGTTCACAGTATTCGTTCGTCAGTATTCGTGTGATGTAATTTACTTGCGTACTGTGGTAGGATTGACATCAAATGCTAAGACACTAGCTGGAGCGTTTCCTGATTACACCGACGTGACTTGACTTCATTAGCCTTCACATTTCTAACAAGGTCATGGCAGAACAAAAGCGGAATTACTGTGCTTTCGCTCTTTGTATTCTGCTTTATTTTACACAAGTTCGCTGCTGCTGTGACCATGTAACTTCATTTGAGAACGATTTGTGCTTCACTCCTGGCCCTTTGAATGGCAGAGGCAACGGATTGCGAGTACCCCAAATATCACGACGATCGGCCATATGGTTCCCCGTCTGTAGTAAAATATTATTGATCCAAAGCGGCCCCCATACCCGTAGCGCTAGGTTTGGAAAAACAGCGAGCAACAAGAAAAAACGCTGCGACCGTGCGGCATTATGACTTGTTCGCGTGATGGTCAGTTGTATTAATGATGGAACAGTGTGGTGCTTTTTATGTCACGCTGATTGAGTAAGGACGAGAGGCCTGATATACGAATACAACGTGCGTATCGTTATCGGCTATGCACATCCTGAACTGATTTTAGTCGTGGTCGCCTTTCCCCTGCAGCCGTTCCACAGGCGCCGGAGGCGGTAAACACTCCCTATTGCGTCCCTAGTTAAGCATTGACACGCACGAGCGGGTACGGCGACATAAGCTCGTCGAAACTGTGGCGAGCGGGGCGGCCAAGGTGGACGCTTTTGACTGTCCCACTAAGATGCTCGCAAATAGGGCTCGCGGGGCCCGCGGCCTTCCTCGTCATCACGTAGCCGTCTCATCACGCGAGGTTCCTGTGGTACCTTGCGCAGGAATAAATCAAATGAGTTGCGGCACACCCTGCCCGGAAATGACGAATCGACAGCGGCGTTACCACGAATAACAAAAGGCGCAGTTCAGCCAGGTCGTAATCACGCAGATGAGGGGTTATTGTCTCTGGATTGCACCCGATGCGCGGCAGCAAACGAGAAGTTGCCCGGTCTGTCCAATAGCTGGCCACGCCGGCGGTTGATTGACGTAACTTCACAAGACAAAAGAACGCCGATGGTATTTTAACCCGCGGTTGGTTTGCGCCTGTTGGCCGGTCCTCTCCGAGGCCAAAGCTACTACTAACCGACATGTGGCTTGAGTGAAACTGCACCCGCTTTTGCATCGGATGAGCACCGTTTGGTGCCGAAGGGACCCGGTCCGTCGACTCTCCGGGACCTGACGCGCCTCTCCGTCTGTTGCAGATCTAGACAACAAGGCGAGCGGTCTCTCCATCATGTCGCAGAAGTACCGCAAGGACGCGCGCAGCCTCAACATGCGCAGTCTGTACGCCAAGATGGCGGCCGGCGGCGTGTGCGTGTTCGTCTTCTTCCTCTACTTCTGGGTGCTGTAGGGGGCGGTGTCGGGGCGGGCGTGGCCGGCGCCTCAGCTTCCCTGTTCGGCGCCGGCCACTCTATTCCAGTGGGAGCAGCGACAGCTCAGCGGTGGTTGGCCTTTGACGCTCCGGTGACGCGGCAACGGCTGGGTGGCGTCAACTGACGCGACTCAGGCCGGACCACGTCGGCTGACGTGGTCAGGCTGGATGGCGTCAGGTGATGCAGCTCCGGCCGGACTACGTCGGCTGACGTGGTCTGGCTGGATGACGTTAGCTGATGCGACTCCGGCCGGATGACGTCAGCTGACGCGACTCCGGCTGGATGACGTCAGCTGACGTGACTCCGGCCGGATGAGGTCGGCTGACGCGGCTCCGGCGCCGCCGGTGCTCGCGCGCCGCCGCTCTCCCAGGGGTGAAGACGCCGGTGTCTGGCGTGACGCGGCGCTTGTGATAGTGAGCCGCCCCACCGTCAGGAGTGGGCCGCAGAGGGGGGCTGCTCTGGTATTCAGAGCGTGCACGGCGCTTGTAATAACGCTGGCGAATGCACCCTCTTGAGATGGACGATGTGAGAGTCGGTTGTTTATTGGGCGGCGGGCGTGTCATGGCGGATGTTGCTTCCCGTTCACTGAGTTTTATCGCAGGCAGGTACGTTGAAATATATATTTAAGGAAAAGAGCCACCGCGGCGATTCCTTTGTTCTTGCCCGATGGCGACGTGTGGGCAATGCCACACGCATTCAGGCTGACCTCCGGGGTCGAGCGACAAGCGGAAATGAGTGTGTTTCCGGGACACGCGTGGATAGTTTTGGAGCGTGCCGAGGTGCGTGAATTATGCAGCACGATTCCAAGTAAAGCCGGACACCGTACGGGTGCAATATATGCAACGGGAAACGAAGTGCTCGTTGCCAAGTTCACGTAAAATGGGCCACTGGCAGATCGAAGAAGTCAACGGACACGTTATGCCACCCGTGTGCCAAATGGTATGATAAGGATCGCAGACGAGACTCATGCCCCCAAAATCCATATTGTGCGGCTAGCGTCAGTACAGCGATAGGATTCGCGCGGGCATTTGGGCGTTAGCCTTCAGTTACGACCTGAATGCTCGTAAACGACCCCTTTCAGACGCTGTGATTGGAGAACCCGGCGCCATCGTGAGAGACTCGTCTCTGGTCAATGCGTTGTCCCGTCTGACTCTAACGAGCTGCTTTTATGAGCCAAACTCACTGCTAATTGGCTGGAGTCCATCGGTTCAGCCGAACACTTCACGTATGCACGAGCTTCAAGGTGTTCGTCACAATATCACCAGGGAGCCACTCCATCGCTGCTTATCTGCCGGGGGATCCCGCCCCGCGTCGCCAGAATGACAGCCGGAGGACGTGCCGCGATGGGACAGAATGGCCCTTCAGCCCTTGTCCGGAAACGGCAATATGCCTCTAGCGCTCTATTCAAGGGGCCCTTTGCCCGGAAGAAAATGAGGCGTCTCATTATTTTTGAATAAAGTGGATCGAAATGAGTTTAAAAAACGAACAAGACGATGCCTCGTTTGCCTGAGGACGTTCATTCTTTTTTTCAGAATGGATTTGTGAAACGAATATCACCAAAAGGTTTGAACATGCGCACCCGCAACCTCGAGAGTAAGGACAGGGATGGTCTTAGTTGTAGCTTCCGTAATACCGAGCGACTGCAAGTGACACCAGACGGTCGGCGCTATGTTAATCTGTCTTGGACAGATGAACAGTCAGCAACACTAAAAATAGAAATTCTACCCTTACTCTTCCGGTTCCACCACCAGATTCTAACAACACTTCTCGGTCCTGTGAGAGCCAATCCGTTCCTATCATAAGTCTAAAGATCGCACAGGTGAAACATGCGTCTAGACTGCTTTCTAAATGTAAGATGTGATGCTCTGAAGCTTTCAAAGGTGATTGCTCCAGAGGCGTCATCATTTTCGCCCACTCGTTGGACACGGCTTGAGGTTCGGTGTTGATCCGACGCTGCGCAGACTACGGAGACTGCAACGCCTGACAGAGGTTTTTCTGCTAAGATTTGCGAGTGTGCGTGTTCAAAACTACTTTTTATCACTATGTATTTTGTTAAACTACATGGTTTGTATCACTACGCATCACTACCAAAAAGTCGAGGAACTTAAAGGTATTTCTAAACGTGACCAAACGGGGTTTGGTGACATTTCATGTCCCACACCCGAAGTAATTGCGCACGCGCTCGGGTGGGGGTCAAATTGACCCCCCTAAAGGTTTTTCCAGAATAATTTCCGAACGGCACGGCGTAGTCGTGCCAAATTTTGCCTAGCTGTAGACAATTGAATAGCGGATCGTTTGACATCAAAATTTAGATGTACCTTGTAAGGCCGCTGACCTAATGGCAGGTCAAAGTCAGGCCATGGTTTCAGCGAAGACAATTTCTAAGGAAGCGTCCAATCGGATACAATAACGGAGTGTTTGACGAGGCCATACATCTCTAAGATGCTTCCTTAGGCGCCAAAAATGTTGAATAAGCAAATTACGTTGACCAAAGGTCGGGTGTAAAGGTCAGACCAAGATCAAAACCAACCTGATTTACTTCTCTTGGGCTCGCTGTATGGGATAGTTTGTGGCGCTCATTTAGAATTTATTGATTGCAGGAATCGCATTATTCATCTTTCATTGACTTCTTAGAGGTCAGGAAAGGTAATTGACCTAGGAGGACCCGGGTCGACATTTCGTTTTTTGAACATACTGCCTAGCGTTATCTTTGTCGCTTATTCAAATGCAAAACTCAGACCAGTCTTGTATGATTTTGATCACCATGACCTTCAAAAGGTCAAACAAGGTCACTGACCTAAAATAGGCTTGTGACCTTTTGCTTAGAACCGGTTGCCTACGTTCTGGGGGCACTTAGAGACCAACCTATAATTTGACCTTGTTTGACCTTATTCGACCTGAAGGTCATGGCCCAGGAAGCTCAAACTTTGACCGAAGTGAGTTTACGTAAAGGTCATGACACTCTATAAATTTGGTACCTCTAGCTTTCTTAGTACCCGAGATCTCAGAGGGGATCAAACTGACCCCCACCTGAGCGAAAGGTATTTAGCCGGCCACCCGCGCGCGTGTTAAACAATTAGTTAACAAGTACTTACGGTGAAAATCGGTACGCCTTATAATCGAGATCAGCTTTCCCCCACAATTACACTAGAGATGTTGAATGGATTCCAAATTTTTGGAGTTACAAAAGATTTCACATGCACAATTAGGAAATTGAAAGGACAGATGCAAATCTTTGGGAATTTGTTGGACGGCCGATATCGCTCTGGCGTGTCGCAAATTGGCATGCACCTCAACTTATTTAACACGCGCTCGGTTGGCCAGCTAGACACCTTTCGCTCGGGTGAGGGGTCAATTTGACCCCCTGAGATATCGGGAACTAAGAAAGCTAGAGATACCAAATTTGCAGGGTGTCTTGACCTGTACATGAACTCACTTAGATCAAGATTAGAGCTTCTTAGGTCATTACCTTAAGGTCAAATAAGGTCAAACAAGGTCAAATTATAGATTGGTCACTTAAGTGCCTCCAAAGCCTAGGAAGCTGTTTCTAAGCAAAAGATCAAAAGCCCATTTGAGGTCAGTGACCTTGTTTGACCTTTTTAAGTTCATGGTGACCAACATCATACAAGACAGCTCTGAGTTTTGCATTTGAAGAAGCGACAAAGATTACGCTAGGCAGTATGTTCATAAAACAAATTGTCGACCCGGGTCATCTTAGGTCAATGACCTTTTCTGACCTCTAAGAAGTCAATGGAAGATGTATAATACGATTCCTGCTATCAATAAATTCAAAATGAGCACCACAAACTATTCCATACAGTAAGCCCTAGAGTAATAAATCAGGTTGGTTATGACCTTGGTCTGACCTTCATACCTGACCTTAAGTCAACGTAATTTGTTCATTCAGTAGTTGTAATGTCTTTCGTCAAATACTCCGTAATTGTATCCGATTGGACGATTCCCTAGCAATTGCCTTCGCTGAAACCATGGCCTGATTTTGACGTCATAGGTCAGCGACCTGACCAGGTACATCTAAATTTTTTACGCCAACCAATCCACCATTCAATTATCTACAGCCATGCAAAACTTGGCGCTGCTACGCCGCGCCGTTCGGAAACCATTCTGGAAAAAGCCTTCGGGGGGAGGTCAATTTGAGCCCCCAACCAAGCGCGTGTTAATGCTGCTCGTTTTTTAAAAAAAATAATTTGCTTCTGGAACATAAACAAGTTGTTGAAAGAGCACACTCGAAAATAGTACTTTTGAAAACATGAAATAGAAAACCTGTACAGTTAAGGGCATTGCTGGAACGGACATCAATGTTAATATATTTAGGAGAATGTGACACTAATAACTCCCGAGATACGACTCGTTATCACTCGACATCCGAATAAGCTGTCCTTGTCGAGCCTATGGATGGTCAAGCTTAGCCGACATCGATGTGATTGGTGAATAGGCGATATTTTCAGGAAAGTTTGTGTTACACCTTATTTGTACACGATCATCTTGTTTTCTTCTCATTCGACTGAAATGAGGGTATTCAGCGACGCGAGTAGTGACTGGAGTTAAGGGTTGTGGATAGAAGTTCCTTGATTTTTATCGGAAATTTTTGGGCCACCTTGAGCTTATGTACAGTTCTGGACGGACGAAAATCTTTCCTTGGACTCTGGATTAGACTTTGGATTACAAATTCCAGGAACCGGCACCTCTGAATTGGACGGAACCCACGTTCAGCACGACACCGACTATGAGACCACGTCGTTTAGTAACGTTTCATCTATGGGCAAAAAGTGCGCGACTGCCACATGCCAGAGCAAGGACAGGTCTGTTGCCGCACGCAAATGCGGTGGGTTATCGGTGAAGCGGCCGTGGCTGCGGTACACGGCAGGCGCACTCTCACCGGCCAATGGCGCATCGGAGACGGCGACAAAGTACAGGTGAACGGACCGGTGCTTCCAGCCAACAGCCGCGGTCCCCGGCGATCATCGGTACTTTTACCCAACAGCCGTCTCCGGTGATCGCCGGTGCTTCTCGCTAACAGTCGCGGCCTCCGGCGATCATCGGTGCTTCTTGCAAACAGCCGAGGCCCCCGGCGATCACCGGTGCCTCTAGCCAACAGTCGTGGCCTTCGGTGATCACCGGTGCTTCCAGCCAACAGTCGCGGTATCCGGCGATGACCGGTGCCTCTAGCCAACAGTCGTGGCCTCCGGTGATCACCGGTGCTTCCAGCCAACAGTCGCGGCATCCGGCGATCCTGTGCCCGGCTTTCCACGCTGCACCGCAGCGGCGGCCGGACATACCAAGCATCCCACCGTATGTTCCGCCGCGCCTCTTCCGACGACCGGCGCGCGCTTGTTTGGGGAACCTATGCCGCGTCATAGCACCCCTCTTACACTAAACCCGGCTGGCAGATGTGCGTGGCGCCTTCGATTCGGCGCACCAGGGAGCGTACGCATGACCTGCCCCTCGATGGCGACGAAAGTGATGCTTGACCCGAGCCAGCACCACGCGATAGTGCCAGCAGCACGACGGGTGCGGCCGGCCGCGTTCGATTGCGCCCGGAGTGATCGCCACCTCGTTTAGCACTTGGGGGCTCCGTCCCAGCAATATCCAGCTCGGGACAGGAAGCGGCGGCAACTGCC